GACGCACTCGCGTGTCTCGTACTACGAAAGGAGCACTTCGGATCGAGAAGATCTGCTTTTGCACAAGGAAACGCGTAGAAGAGACTCGTCAAAGCGTCGTTCTGAGACCGGTCGTTGCGGCTAGAGAACCGACGGATGTGCAGACATACGGAAATCCGCGGTTCCGACAGATTCCGGTAGTACGTCGCGATGCGGCGGCGCCATAACGTGGCGTCGCTGCAGGAGCGAGTCGGTTCTTTTCTGAGCCCGTGTTTTTGACAGAATAATGGGAGAGGTTTTAATGAAAAACGCACGTAAATGTCCTATGATTGGGTAGATGAATTTTTGAGTTTTGGAGTTCTCAATTTGATAATTAATCGAAGCGTTTATACATTTTTTGTTTTCTACAAATGCTCTAAAAATTTTGACGCTTCATTTAATTAAATGCTCCGTAGCTATAACAATCTACTTTAATGATTTTACACAACTTACAACCTGAACCTTTGCAAACTTTGCGTCCTAAGTAAATCTTAAGCACCCAACCTAAATACGATCCTGATTAGCGAGGGAGGTAAAACATCAAGAGGCCACCAATGGCGAATGAGCCGAGTCGACGTGGAGGGGATGAATGCACGTGACTCGCGGCGTGTCGTGTTCTGTCAAAGCTGTGCGATATCACACATCTGCATGAAGTAAGATCCGTTCTTTCGAAACGCGGCCAGCGGGAAAAGCGACCGATAATTAATCCAATAGGAAGGAATCCTTGCATTTTTCTTCCGTGCCACGCGGGTCTCGCGGTGCAAAATTTTGACATATGAACAAATAGATTATCTCCATGTATCTATCTCGAATTATTATGCAAGAAAAAGATTTGATCGTGCGATACAGAAGGATTGAGTATGAGTAACAGGCGGTGAATAACGGGGAAAGTTTTGCGTGACAGGTAATCCATTCGTGTCATGAGAGGTTGAATATACGTCTAGTAATATTTTCGAAAAACAACGTTTATATTTCAGAATTTTATAGATTATACATCAATATAAGTCAACTCTAAAATTTGTTGATAATTATATTTTGAATAATTAAGGCTAAGATAATTATTGCGATCTGAAACTTTAAATTTACATGGATTATTTGCAACGTTAGTAAATAATTAAAAAATTAAGAAGTATAATAATAGCGTACTTAGTTCATCGAACGGAGACACAGATCCCAACGGATTTGCATAAAACGTCGCTTAAGCAACCAGTTGACGTCACCGAATAAGGCGTTATTTTACAGGTAGTTACAAAGCGAACACAGCGACGTTTATACGACGGAAGATATTTCGCGGGATGACTTTACTCGATTATTCACTCCATCAGGCGGAAAATTGATTTATCGCCGTCGTCAAACGGCTACTGTAATTCGCACGCGAGATAAAAAAGAAATTCGCAAGCGAGCCACTTTGTGGCCCAATTAATACTCGCTACTGATTACCAACGTTTAAGAACGCGAGAGACGCGTTTGGCGAGAACGTAATTACTTCGAAGAAGAGAACAGGGAGGGGAGGGGATATCGATGGGTGATTAGCAAGTAGAACGTGCCATTCGCGATTTAATTGCGGTGATAGGCGAATAAAGAACCCCGTGAGCTCCTATTGTTTGCAGATCAATAATAAACGCGTGCGTGCATTTATTACGGAATTCCGCAAATAAATTCGCAATCCATTGCGTATCGGTTAATTGAAAATGAAAAGCAAAGGAAAAAGAAATTATAAGAATCGACGAGCGTCAAATCGAGAAGAATTAATCGTTACTTAAAGGCAAGGCGATGTTAATTTCTACACGGATATTCCTCTCTCCTCGGTTAATTATTTCCAGACCGCCGATAAAATCGAAATGGGCGGACGCTTTTCTTTCGAAGAATTCGATTTCCAATTTCCGTTATTAAGAAGTCGAATGAACCTCAATAAACTTCGAGCTTTTTAGCGATGACGTTTTCCCGCGTTCAGGCAATCCCAAGCAATGCATGGGGATCGATATACGTCACGCGCGATTTGAAGGACAGAATTACAAAGGGCCCGGTCGAGCTCACGTCCCGGTGCACACGAATATCACGAGCTTTCCATCCATCGAGAATCGTCTCCACTTCACGTCACATTCGGCACGTAAGTGCAAATGAAGCGCGAACGTCAGCCGAACTTAAATCGAAGAATTCAATGGGAATCCATTCCGATCAACCCGTGGATAAACAAAAGAGGGAAATCGTTCGACACAAGCCCGAGCTGTAATTAAATTTCCGCATGGAATGGATGATGGGAGATAACCGGCGGCTGTTAGATCTCTTTTTTTCGTGCTCGCGCTTTAGATTTTTTTTTTACGTTAATTAAAATAGAGATGCGTTGTGCGTAAACGCATGTCGAAGAAAAGAGAAGATGCAAAATCTATGGGTAATGGGAAGAATAAAATTCTCAATGTGTAACGTCAATCTCAAACGTCAAGGGTTGCGTTGTCTCGTGGATCCACCCGCATGCACGCATACATACGCATACATACGATGTAACATTACGATGTAACGATTCTTCGGGCTACGCGAAGTTAATCGCGCCAGATAAGAGGAGATTCGAGCGTTGTAAAACCGAAATCCTCGCCGGAGCTCTTCGATCCATCCAGCGCGGCTCAACGGGAGTGAGCGCGTCGCAACCGCGCGTTGTAATTTACACCCCGCGCAGGATTAACCGCAGGAAGTGACTTGAGTCCGAAGTTGCGCGTTCAGGCGCGCGGATCTCGAGGGGGAAACCTCCTCGAGTCTCTCACGGCGAGAGGCTGACAATGCGCCACTTCGCGATCGCAATCTTACAGCGAGGATTATTTCAGGGCATAAGAGAGCTTGTTTTCTGCCGTTTACATTATACAAGCGATTATCGCCTCGGGGGAGAGAGGGACGGCAATTCCCCTCGCTCGGACGAGTGCAAAGGAATTGAAAATCCCCGCGTGGCGTGTCCTCTTCCGTCCCGCTCTTCTCGGCCCCGGCCCCGGCCCCGGCCTCGCGTTCGAATAACATCATCGAATCGAACAGAAACTTACCCGCCTCGAGCAGATCCAAGTCCAGATTGCCGCTGCGGCTGCGACTGATGCTGCTGCTGCAGGCGTTGTAGCTGCCGGAGCGTTGATGTTGAGCGGCGGTCTCCTCCATCGCCCGGGAGGCGCTGCGCTTGAACTGCTCCAGGAAGCTGTCGATCTGATTCTCGATGCTGGTCGGCGAGCTCGCCATCCTGACTCGCGCGTCAAC